CATCTTCATAATCGAAATCAATATCATTATTTTCCAGTTCTTCTGAATCTGAATCATTCTCTAGCATATTTATCCATCTTGAAACTACACCTCACCAATCATTTACTGTTTGTATATTACCAGTACTTTGATTTATATCATCATCTTTATCAGACGATTCACTATCTGATATATTAAGCATCCCGTATCCATCATTATCAGCTTCAGTTAATATGGATAATAATATATTCACAGCTTTAAACTTACATGCCTCTTTATCAATTTCTTTAAATTTTAGTTTTTGTTGTATAAAAGCTCGTATCTGTATCATATTGAGTACCTTTTCAGACTAATATTAAATAATAACTTATTAATATATGATGCAAGAAACTAATACCAGCCTAATTTAATAAAAAATATTTTACTACTATTTTTTACTACTAATTCATTAAAATAAAAATAAAATAAATAAAAATTTACCTTTAATCGATTTCTTCGTTTTAAATGCAACCATCCTATTGTAGAAAACTGTCTTTCTAAAGATGCTGTTATTACTGCAATTGAATAAATTCGTTCTGCTACTCTATAAAGCTCTTTTGAATATCCGTGTACATAATTCCAATATCCAAGAATATTATGATTAAATTGGTTTGCAGTAGTATCATTATATGGATATTTTTTTTTCCTATATACTTCCAATTCAACTAGTAATACTATTGGTTCTTCATTAAACCAGGCACAATAGTAATAAGTAATCCATCGACCAAGATGAGAAAAAGAAAGATTTTCAATTATAGAATTGAATTTATTTGTACAATATTTAGGATGAAGTAAAAATGATAAGAGCAAGAGTGGTTGCTCCTAATTTGCCCATCTTTTTTCTAGTTTTTTAAAAAGTTTTTTACTTAAACTTTGATTAGTAAGTAATCGTAAAACTGTAACTATATTTTAAAACTATGAAGTACTTTATGTAATCGAAAATTATACCATTGTAATTGATTTAATGCAGTACAATAAGGAAGCATAATCATTTCTAACTATTTAAGGCTTTTCCACCAATTATTATCAGAAATGCATTTAAGGTATTCATTAGGAAAATCATAAAGATCATCTGCAATTTGTTCTTCAATTTTAATTGTTAAGCTCTAAAAATTAATTAAAAAATAAGTCAGTCATATAAAAAATAAATTGAATAAAATAAAATTGATAAATACTTTAAGAGCAGCTTTTGTTCTTAATAAGCTTGCAAAACAATGATAATGTGAATTCCAACGAGTTTCATTAGGAACAATTAATGCATAATATTTGTTTTTATATATTGCAGCTTGCTCTTCACGCAATTTTCCAATCTATACCTTTGATTGATTAAAAAAACTAACTATTGCAACTACTTGTTCAGCTAAAGTAGTAATAGCACTTGATTCTTTAAAGATATCTCCTACACAAAAATTTACCTGATGTGCAAAGCAGGATAAAAATAAATTTTCACGATATAAAATCTGTAAATGTTTACTATTATTAAATTATAAATAATTAAAATGTTTGTTATTAATTATATTCAAAATAAATAAAATAAATAATAAATGCATTTAACCTACTGTGCTGCAGCATTTTCTGAAGCAGAATCTGTAATTAAACCATTAACATTGATATTCATTTGTTGAAGTTCAGCAAAAAGCTCTTCTGTAGTTTGTATAATATCATCTCCAGTTCCTCTTTTTCCTCTATAATCAACTGCTTTCTAAACAACTACTTCACCAGAGGAAGTAATCAAAATAACACTGAGAAGATGTTGTCGAGAAACATTTTTCCATCTATCAAAAGCTAAGGTTATACCTAATTGATCATTTTTTGCATTATCAAGTAAATTTGTTAATACCCGTTCAGTTGCTTTTTTAAGAATTTGTTCTCCTAATACTTTTCATGATGGTAAAGTGATCATTGGATTTAACCAATGAAAGAATCTTTTTACCGCATCATTTTCTATCCATTGAAACGCCTAACCACATGAAACTGTTATTTCTAATAAAGATTCTTCAAGTTTGCATATTTGAGAAGTTGTTAATGGATGAAAAATATAGTTGTCTAAAGTGTTTTCTTGAATGGAAATAACAATCTCTTCTTCATACTCAGGTGATTAATCATTGAGAATATCTGTTTCAAAATCTGAATCTTCATCACTGGATAAATCATCTAAAATGGTATGTGATCATTTTTTTACTGGCTTATTAGACTTAACTCCATCTTTTTAGCTTTATCAAGCAATTCATTTATCTGTTTAGATGTATATGTAGCTGCAAAACTTGAACAGCTTTGAAAATGACGTATACATTCTTTTTTTGTGTTTGTAAATTTATTTTTATATGTTTCTTCTCTTCCAAGTACATTAATACAAGCACGACACATAGCATACTTATTGCTTTTATTTGCTTTTTTGTTAAGAACTACAATATATGATGTTAAAAAATGTTGCCAATGACCCATTATATGATAAAAGTTTTGTTAAAAAATGAGAGGTAAGATTATGAAGATCCATTGTTCATATTTTATTAACAATTTTATAAAAAAATCGTTAAATTCTTGATTGGTACATTAGGATTTTAATTATAAAATGATTTGTAATACGTTATTACAAAATACTGCTCAATAATATTAAACCTTTTTTTACGAATTGTTAAATTTAAAAGATTACATTTTTTTTTTAAAAAAAAAATGCAAAAAAGTCAAATTTTTAGGTTTAAATATGCGGTCACATTTTTTTTTTATTAATTACATATATGCATGGACTATATAAAAGGATTAGTTACTTGTTAAAAAAAATGGTAAATTATTTGTATAACACATAACATGTAAAAAATGTGTCGCAATAATTTTTAAATGATGATTTGGCATAGTTTACTTGCATTTTTTACAAAAACTATTGAATATTGTCCAAAAAATATTGGACATGTTCTAAAATAATATTGGATAATGTGGACTTAGTCCAAATGCTATTAATATCCAAATGCAGTTGGACTTGGAGTGGACTAGTCCAATTAGTCCAATTCCAATAATCCAAATTATGCCAATTAGATATTGTCCAAAACCATCACTGCGGTAGAGGCCCTTATTTCTGTATATGATCATAAGATTGTATATAAATTAAGAAAGTGATTAACCAGAAATTAGTAGATTAGATCAATGGTGATAATAAACTGCATTGCATGCTGCAGTATCGTCTAATTGAGCATATCATTAGGTCTAAGGTTAGGTTCAATTCCTAAGATATTTGCCGATATGGCCTGATCATCACCTGGCTAGTTTACCATTTAGGCAAATCTTGTAGTAATTATCCTATGAATCCTGTGGTATTGGTTGGGTAAGAGTAGACCCTAGCAAGGTATATGATGTAATGGATCTCTCAGTCCTATAGTGGTATGTAGTTCCCAGATAGATGGTAACCAAAGGGGGTATTAAATCCTTTATAAGAGCTTAATTCTACCGACAAGGCAATATCTGGGCCAGTTTATCAGTGAAGGTTGCCAATGGATATATGAGCCAGCGGAGACCTAGGAAATGTAGCTAACATATAGTTTCATAAGATTCTAGTCATAATGTTACATACTATCACCTGAACTGTAATAAAAAAAATAAAATAAAATAAACAAAAAAGAGGATTAGCAATTCTTGCTTAATGGTTAAGCCGCGAGCCCATATCAAGCTAAAGTTTAATTATACAGCAATAGGCCATGGTTCAGGTATCGTGCGATACATAAAACTATATGATTTTCTATAAAGAATTTCTTTGTAACTGAACAACTGGGCGTATATACTAATATACGTTAGATTCTGGTTGATCAATCTGTCGATCAATGTTGATCATGCCTAAATACTGCATAGCGTAAGAACAAATAGATGCAAATGAAATCTGGGATCAACAGAAACTTAGCCATCGCTGATTGTTCTGTAATGGATACAGTCTTACGTCACATACAGCAGGGGCCTTTATTTCTATATATTATCATAAGATTATACATAAATTAAGGAAGTGATTGATCAGAAATTAGTAGATTAGATCAACAGTGATAATAAACTGCATTGCACACTACAGCATCGTCTAATCGAGCATATCATTGGGTCTGAGGTTAGGTTCAATTCCTAAGATATTTGTCGATATGACCTGATCATTACTCTGTTAGTTCACTGTTTGGACAAATCTTGTGATAATAATCTCATGAACCCTACGGCATTAATTAGGGTAAGAGTAGACCCTAGCAAGGTATATAGTGTAATAGATCCTTCAGTCCTATAGTAATATGTGGTTCTAGATAGCTGGTAACTGGCAGGGAGTGTCAAATCTTCCTAATAGGCTTAATTCTAGCAACAGCATCACTAAAGGCGACAGCAATATCTGGGTCAGTTATAATGGTATAGGTTGCCAATGGCAGAAATGATCAGTGGAAACCTAGGGATGAGGCTAACATAAATAGAATACTTGAGATCCTCAGTCTTAATGTCTCATCTAACACTATCGCTACATACTGAAAATAAAAAAAAAATAAATAAACAAAAAAAAATAAACTTTATCATTTTCATTTCTTGACAAAATTTCTTATTAAAAATATTTGGTCATTTATTTAAAATGTATAATTTTTTCATAAGTAATCATAATTACAGATATTATGATAAAAAAAAATAAACATAAAAACTAATCGAAATTTATTCAGTTGGTATAAAAACCTTTATCTTAATATTAATATTAATAATACTAACTGTATTTTCTTTCTTTCTACTAACTGTTTTTGCTTTTCTACTAACTGTCCCTCTTTTGCTTTTCTACTAACTGTTTTTCTTTTGATTTCTCTACTAACTTTCTCTCTTTTGATTTCTCTATTTTACTAATTGTCTTTTCTCTTTTACTTTTTCAAATCTACTAACTTTCTCTTTTTTTACTTTTCTATTCTACTAACTGTCTCTTTTTTACTTTTCTATTCTACTAATTGTCTTTTTTTTTACTTTCATACAAATTTTTTAAAGCATCAAATATTTAAACATTTAATTTCTTTATTTATCAACCATTTATTTTAGAAAAATTCTCATCAATGTTTAAC